CTATATGTTCAGGAGTTTGTTTCTGGGGTCTCTATACTCTACCATTGGCCCACCTGTCTGGTTTCTGTGCCAATACAATGCTGTTTCGATGATCACCTTTACGGTTTACTTGGGGGTCAGGGAGTGAGATGCTGCCCATTCCACTCTTCTTGAGCAAGATTGTTTTGGAAATACATGATCTTTTAAAATTCCAGACAAATTGTATGATTGTCTTTTGTAAATCTGTGAAGAATGTGTCTGGTACTTTGATTAGGATTTAGTTAAATATGTAGATTAATTTGGGTAGAATTGCCATTTTGATTACATTAACTCTTCCAATTCAGGAACATGGTATATCTTTCCACTTTTTTGTGTCATTCTCAATGTCACTTTTTAAAGTTTTTCATAGTTTTCCTTGTGGAGGTCTTTAATTTCTTTGGTTAGATTTATTCCTAGGTGTTTTATAGTTTTTGTGGCTATGGTAAATGGAATTACTTTCTTCAGTTCTCTCTCTCTCTCTATCTCTTATCTTTCTTCTATTCTATTTGCCTGCTATTCCTATATAGAAATGCTATAGATTTCTGTATGTTGATTTTATATCCTGCAACTTTACTGTATTCATTTATTACTTGCAGGAATTTTTTGTGGATATTATTGAGTCTTTTATGTATACAATCAAGTCATTTGCAAATAGACATAAATTCACCTCTTTTCTTATTTGAATGTCTTTTATTTTATTCTCTTTTCTGATTGCATTTGTGAGGACATCTAGTACTATGTTGAAAAAGGTTGAAGAAAGTGAGCATTCTTGTCTTGTACCAATTTTTAGCAGAAAAGCTTTCAGGTTTTCCCCATTCAGGATGATGTTATCTATGGGCTCATAGATAGCTTTTTATTTATTTATTTTTTAATAAATTTATTTTTTTCATTTCATTTTCTTTGATACATTCAATCACATTATTATTTGTCTTACAAAATGGAAATTTCAACTGGTGAACATTTCTCCCTAGTACTGTTGATAAAACTACGAAATAGCTTCAACAGATAATATAGCTTTTATTGTGTTGAGGAATGATCCTTTTCTGCTGATTTTGCTGAGATTCTCAATCGTGAAGGGATGTTGTATCTTATCAAATGCTTTCTCTGCATCATTCGATATGATCATATGGTTTTTATCTTTCTTTCTGTTAATATGGTGCACTATGTTTATGGGTATGTTGAACCATTCTTGCATCCCTGAAATAAAGCCTACCTGGTCGTGATGCATACTCTCTTTTATATGTTGTTGGATATGATTTCTAAAATCTTGTTGAGAATTTTTCATTTATATTCATAAGATATATTGGTCTATAGTTTTCCTTCCTTGTTTTGTCCTTGTCTGTTTTAACAATAAGGGTGTGATGGAGGCTTCATAGCATGAATTTGGGAGAGTTCCACCCTTTGGGATCTTTAGAAATAACTTGAGCAGTATGGGGATTAACTATTCTTTAAAAGTTTTATAAAATTCAGGGGGGAAGCCATCAGGACCAGGACTTTTCTTTGTTGGAGGTTATTTATTATTGATTCAATCTCCTGACTTGTTATGGGCTTATTCAGATGTTCTATATCCTCCTGGCTCAATCTTGGTAGATTGAATTTGTCCATCTCTTCCAGATTTGGCAAATAGTTTTTCATAGTATTCTCTAATGATATTTTGTATTTCTATTTTCTCTGTTGTTATATTGCCTGCTTCATTATGAATTTGATTTACCTTGTTTGTTTCTCTCTTCTCAATTAGCTAGCCATGTATCAATTTTGTTTATCTTTTCAAAGAACCAGATTTTACTTTTGTTTATTTTCTGTATAGTTTATTGTTCTGTATTTTGTTTATTTATGCTCAGATTTTTATTATTTCTGCTTCCTGTTGTTTTTGGATTTTTTTTGCTGTTGCTTTTCCATTTCTCTGAGGCATGACATTAGGTGGTCTATTTGCCTTCTTTCCATCTTCCTCTTATGTGCACTAATTGCTATGTACTTTCCTCTTATGACTGCTTTAGCAGTGTCCCAAAGATTATGGAAACTCGTGTCTTCATTTTCATTGGCTTCCATGAATCTTTTGATTTTAGTCTTTATTTTTTCAGTTGTTGTGAAGTCATTCAAGAGTAGGTTATTTAGTTACCATGTATTAATGTATTTTTGAGTATTTTTCTTGAAATTATCTGAAGTTTAATTCCATCATGGTCAGAGAACATGCAGGATATAGTTTCTATGTCTTTCAATTTGTACAGGCTTGCATTGTGCCCTATCATGTGGTCAATGTTCATAAAGGCTCCATCCGCCCGTGAGAAAAAAAGTGTATCTCATAGCTTTTGTGTGGAAGATTCTATAGATGCTTATTAAATTCATTTGTTTTATTGTATCATTTAGTTCCTTTACTTCTTTGCTTATTTTTTGTCTAGATGATCTGTCCAAAGGTGATAATGGGGTGTTGAGGTCTCCAGCAATTAATGTGTTGCCGTCTATTTGGATCTAACAGGTTTTTTTCTTTTAGATCTAACAGGTTTTTTGTTTTTTTTTTTTTCTTACCATGTTTGGGTGTTCCTGAGTTAGGTGCATAGATATTTAAAAGCGTGGGACCAGCAGTTAGCATAATGGCTATGTCGCTGGACTCCCATGTAGTTGATTGTGGTTTGCGTCCTGGACCCGGTGGCTTAAAACTCATGCCGGGTGTGTGTGCGTGCGTGCCCAAGATCCCGAGAGGAGAATGGAGGGGGGTGATTTCTCGCTTTCTGTCTCTGTCTGGTGAGCGCATGTACCCTATAGCAAAAACCTTTCCAAAAAAAAAAAAAGTGTATACCTTCTTGATGGATTCACCCTTTTACTACTATATAATGTCATTCTTTGTGTCTTTGTAGTTCTTGGTTTAAGGTCTATTTTGTGAGAAATTAGTATCATGACTCCAGCCCTTTTTTTGTTTCCATTTGCATGGAAAGTCTTTTTTCAGCCCTTCACTTTTAGTGTATGTATGTCTTTATCCATGAGATGTGTTTCTTGTTGACAACAGATGGAGAGCTTCTGTTTTTTCATCCAGCCAGCCTGTTTGTGTCTCTCGATTAGAGAATTTAATCCATTAATAATCAATGTTATTATCAATATATTGACTTGTACCCACCTTTAAGTTGGCCATTGTCTTGATTGTCTTTTATTCCCTTGTGTCTGGTTGTTCACTTTTTAGTTTTTCTAAAACAGAACTCTCTTCAGAGTTTCTTAAAGAGCTGGTTTGGTGCTGGCAAATTCTTTTGGGTTTTCTTCATCTGAGAAGATTTTAATCTTGTTTTTTTTTTTTTTTTTTTTTTTCCCCATATGAAGGATAATCTTGCTGGATATAATAATCTTGGTTGTAATTGTTTCTCAGCACTGTCAATATGTTTTCCCACTTTTTCCTTGCTTTCATTGTTTCCATTGAAAGCTCTGCTGTTAGCTTGATGGAATGACCTTTATAAGTCACTTGACCTCTCTCTCTTGCCAATTTTAGTATCTTGTCATTATCGGTGGTTTTGGACAGTATCTCCATGGAGAGGATCTTCCTGAGTTGATGCTATTTGAGGCCTTTGTATTTCTTGGGTCTGGATATTTGAGTGCTTTCCTAGACTTGCATAGTTATCTCACAGTTATCTCACAGTTTTAATGTAACAGATTTTCCATGACCTTATCAGTTTCTTCACTTTCTGAGATATCAATTATTAGGATGTTTGGTCGTTTAATGGAAACTATTATTTCTCATATATTATCCTTTTTTGAATTGTTGTTTTCTCTATCTTCTTGGTAGATTTTTTTCTAGGTGAGAGGTTTTATCTGACATCTGAAATTTGCTCTTCAGCATGGTCTAATTGGCTTTTAATACTTTTGAGAGAATTTTTGATGTCCTGTATTACTGCCTTCATCTCTAATAGTTTCATAAGAGTCTTTCACATGTTCTTTTGATGGAGACATATTTCCTGATTTCCCCCTCAAACTTGAGGATCTTCTGTGACTTCTACTCATTGTGTGATGTATTCACTTTGGGATACTTTTTGAGAATGCTTCTTTCATTGGAACAAGTTAGCTTCCATTTTGCTGTAGATTGCTTGTGTCCCTAAGTCTCTCTTCTAGTTTGTTTAGTAATGTGGTCTCTAAGGGAGGAGTTTTATATTCAAGTATCTGAAGAGCAGCTTCTCATTTTTTTGCAGGTGGTTCAGTATAGAGTGAAAATTCCAGGGAGCCTCCCAATACTAGGATGTTTAAAAACTATGAGTCTAGACCTGTCTAGATGCTCTAGGTGGGTGGAGGATGAGGAGAAGATGACAATATTAGAGGGAAGTAAAAGAATATGAAAGAGGAATAGAGAAAAAGTCATGTATCGCACTTGTGCATGGTGCACAATTTTGGCAGGGGACTGCAGTTGGAAGTGGGCTCTGTTTGTTATCTCTGAGTGACCCAATGGGGTAAAGGGAAGTAAAGAATTAGCAAAAGAAAGAAGGGGAAAAAAGTAGCCCACCTTTCTCTCAGAGAGAAGGGGCGCCCTGATGTTGGGGGAGCTGGGCTGGTGCTGGAACTGAAGCTGAAGTCAAAGAATGGCCCTGCCTCAGTTTCCCTTACTGGGTGTGATTTCTTGGTTTCTGTCTCTCTGTATATCTCTGATTCTCCAGTGAGCACTCACATCTTATAGCAAAAAAAATCGCTCTCTAAAATAAGAGAATTCTTTTTTAAATCAACTCTGTCCCGTTAACAACATCATTTTCTAGGTAAAAGAGACCTCATTCCATTCACAGTGCTCTCAAAATTATTTTTGGTTGTTTGAACACAACTTGTTCAAACAGCGGACAAAGGCTATTTTAGAGTCCTGCAGGGGTTTAGGAACTTTACTCACACTGCTCCATATACCAGTGAAGAAGAATCTCTGAGTAGCAACTAAAGTTTAATCCTTTCTGTGCCTTGGTTTTACTGAGAAGTTCATCCTCAATCACATGACCATATTTCTTAAAGCTGTCCTCTGTGATTAGGTACTATTGGGAAAACTACCATTTTGTATTGGCCTTTCTCTTTGCTATTGAAGAAATCAACAAAAGCCCCTATCTGCTCCCCAACATTTCCCTTGGTTTTGATATCTACAATGCATTTCCTGACCACCAAAGGACCTTAGAGAGTGCTCTACTTTTGCTTTCTGGAGTGAATCAGACTCTGCCTAACTATAACTGTGAGGCGCAGCAGAAATTTGTTGCCATCATTGCAGGAAACATTCCAGTATTTTCAGCACAAATTGGAACCCTACTGGAACTCTACAAAATCCCACAGGTAAGTGGTTTGTTGGGTTACAAAATGGTGTTTAAATCTCTCCTAATCTGATTTTCCCACATGTTAGCAAAGAAAATATGGAAGCTGTGTGTTCACATTCTTAGAGAGTTAGAAATAGATCACAGTGAATTTCCTGGGTCGTGGGATTATTCATAGTATAAAATGAGAAAGAGACAGGGCAGTGGAATCTGTGAGGCTCCATTCAGATTACAGCCCATGGTCAATATTTTCAACCCCCACTGTTGTGACTAATGCTTGCTGAAAACTCAATGATGTGGGCCTCTTAGGAAATGTACACAGCACAGAGATCAGCCCCATCTTGAGATACGACATTATCTGGAGGCATTCAGAGGACAATGACAATTGTAAAGGTGTTAATACCTTTGCATCTACTTATCATTTGAGACAAATATGATGGCACATTCCAGCTCTGGAGGTCCCCACATTGACTATGGCTCAGTTATATCTGCTTTGCCTTACCAGCTTACTTAGTCCTTCCTTACAACCAACCAGTTGGGTCACTGGAACTGAGATGCATTTCGCAATCACTCTCCACATTAAAACTCTATACCTTACAAGTTCTTTCCAGGGACTCTTTCCAAAAGCAGCATTCAGAATTTATTACTGAGAAACAGAGATACCATTCACTCATAGGAAGTGGTCCTAGAAAATTTGTATTTTAAAAATATCAGAGAGAATAAGTGGTTGTATCTTTTTAAAACACAGAGGTTATGTTTCATGATAAATTTTCAGTGTCAAACGATCAATAATAAAGATTTTTTCCCCCAAAATTTATATTTAACATTGCATGCCAGGCAAGGAAGCTTCTGATGTACATGTCACATGAACCCAGGAGGGCAGACTTACCATTTTTTTTTTTACATCATCTTTATAAAGTTTATGTAATCTTTATTTTCAGCTGTAGAATATGAAGGGTTTATTTATTTATTTATTTATTTATTGGAGAGATTTTCGCTATAGGGCGCGTGCACTCGCCAGACAGAGAGAGACAGAGGGACAGAAAGTGAGAAATCACCCCCCGGGGGGATGGCCACACTGCAATCCCTTCTCCTCCATTCTCCTCTCAGGATCTTGGGCACGCACGCACACGTGCCCGGCGTGAGTTTTAAGCCACCGGGTCTGGGACGTGAACCGTAGTCAACTACGTGGGAGTCCAGCGACATAGCCATTATGCTAACTGCTGGTCCCCATGAAGGGTTTATTGAATGTTATAATTTTGATTTGTTCAGGGAATAATTATATTGGCCCAGAATATTCATATGTCTATTTCTAAAAGAAATGGGACTGAGAAACATGGTCTTCTAGAGCCTGGAATGACAGAACAGGTTGATCTTTGCAGCAGATTTTCTTCTCTCAAGATTTCATTCTGTGGTCTTATCAGGTAGAGAATACTCTCCCCATTGTTGAAGGGGAAAACACCAAATCCCACTGCAGAAAAAAAAAATCATGTTATTCGTTTTGTTATCCAGGTCACATATGGTCCTTTTGATTCCACCCTAAGTGATAAAAGCCAGTTTGCATCCGTTTATCAGATGGCCACCAATGACAGCTCTCTGGCTCAGGGAATAATCTCGTTGTTGATGCATTTTGGTTGGACATGGGTGGCACTTTATGTATCTGATGATATGAAAGAAGAGCAGTTTCTTCAGGTTCTAAATGCAGAGATGATAAAAAGGCACATCTGTGTAGCCTTCACAGAAATGCTCCCTTCTGGGACAGGTGTCAAAACATTCCACAACATCAATTATGGGCACAGAATCAGAGTTTCATCTGCAAATGTGTATATAATAATTGGTGAGAAAAATAATGTCTGGAACCTGGCCATCTTAGAAGAATTCGATTTAATTTGGGGAAAGGTGTGGATCCTGAGAAATTTCAGCTCATTATGGTGGAGAAGACTTTTCTATGTCAAATTGAACCAGCCATACCTTTTCCATGGAAGCCTCTTATTTTCAAAGCAGGAAAGGAAAATTCCTGGCTTTAAACAATTTCTCAAGACAGTCAGCCCTTTCCAATACCCAGAAGACTTTTATTTACATGAATTATGGACTTCCTTTCTTAACTGCTCAGTTGATCTATCACTATGTGGCAAAATTAGACACTGTGCACCAAACTCTTCCTTAGAGTTTATGCCATTTGATTTCAACATTATGACCATTTCCGAGTTCAGCTTTTTAATCTGTCATGCTGTGTATATGATGGCCCAAGTCCTCCATAAGACGGTCTTGAAGAAAATAGTAATGGGGTCTCCAGAAGATGCAGACCAGCCTATGTTTCTTCCCTGGCAGGTCAATATTCTCCACAACCATCATACACACTGGACACCTGATACATTTGGAAGTATTTTATTCAACTACACATCATGATCATCTTGCTTCTCAAGATTAATAGGATCAAGTAAAATGGAAAATTTTTTCTTTTTGTATTACATAGATGTGTGTTATATCTATTAAGAGAATTCTGCCATTGGGGGTTGAATTTTAAGATACTTAGCTATCTCAGATAAATATTTCTTAATGCAGAATGAAATACCATAAAGTATATAAGACAAGACTTGATGAAACACAGAGAGGTAAAAAATTGACCAAATCTACATATATATTTCCTAAAAATGCATCCACTGTCAATAAATATTGACATAATGATTATATTTGCCTCCAGCTATTTTATCTTTACTGAGGTATATACTGTACCCTATCCACTCTATGTAATAGTTATACTGAGAACAGAAACAGATTTTACATCATATCTTAAAATGATCCATGGAAAGAACTTATTTCAGACTTAAGTGTACTTAAAATATATTTTTAAAAATGTCTGAGAGCATACTCTGGTTTGGTGTTAAAACACAAAACTACTTACAATGCCTATAAGCTCAGGCTATACTAACTGGTTTACAAATAAGTTTGCATTTTAAACTAAACATATCTAAATCCAAACTTTATGTATAAAATATATTTATTCACAGGGGACAAATATTTTAGTCAATTTTGTTGATCAAGACAAGTTAATTTATATGAAAAATTGTCATCATCAGAAAGCTTAGTTTACCATGGGATTTCCATTTGTACTACTAATAACAACATTGACTGGCACTTCGAGGAAATTTAACGGTGAAAAGCAGATAATTTTGTCAAGATGCCTATCCTGGGATAAAGGAATATTTAGATATTTCTATTCTTAAAAAAATAAAGAATTAAATACCAGGACCAGCAGTTAGCGTAATGGCTTTGTCGCTAAACTCCCATATAGTGGTCTGCAGTTCGAGTCCTGGACCCAGTGCCTTAAACTCACGCCAGGCACATGTGCGTGTGTGCCCAAGATCTCAAGAGGAGAATGGAGGAGAAGGGATTGCAGCATGGCCATCCCCCTGGGAGGTGATTTCTTGCTTTCTGTCTCTCTGTCTCTCTCTCTCTTTCTGGCCAGCGTATGTGCCCTATAGCCAAAAACCTCTCTCCCCCCCAAAACAAAGAATTAAATACCAGTTGTATAGACAAGTTATTCTCTGTCACTGAATGTCAAATATCTGAAGGTTAAGATTTTTAAAAGACCACTCTGTTTAAATTTATTTTATACATTCAAACACTATACATCACTTAGCTTATAAAGTAAATGTACCCTACATGAAATACACTTTAGGCCAGTCCAGGTGAGGATACTATTGATGTTATCATCAGTAGGTAATAAGCCATTTCTGGGTCCAATAAATTTCTTGCCTCTCCATTTTTTCACTCTAATTTATTTCCCTATGCTCTTCCCCTCTCCCATCCTCCTTTCACACTGACTCCAGTGTTCATAACTATTTTCAATGCTTTTATATCCTCCAATCTTTCAGTCTGTAACACAGAGTGGGGACAGTCAATATATGTCAAATGGAGACATTTTTTGTCTCCTTTGTAACCTGGCTTGCTTCACTCAGCAATAAATCTCCCATATTCATCACTTTCTAGTATATACCAGGGTCTTGTAGTGTTTTTATTTGTTTGTTTTTTCTAATGGCTTGATAGTACTCCATAGAGTATATGTGCCACACTTTTTCAATCCATTCATCTGTCTGTGGACATTTGTGTTGGTTCCATATCTTACCAATTGTGAATAGTGCCACAGTAAACATAGATGTACAAGTACTTTTCAACTGAGTATTCTGTCCTTTGGGTAGATACCCAGGAGTGGATTTATTGGATCACATGAGTTATTTTGGAGTTCTCCGAGGAACCTCCAAACTGTTTTCCTCAGTGGCTGGACCAATTTAAATTCCCACCAACAGTGTAGAAGAATTTCCCTTTCACAATCCCACCAACACTTATTTTATGTATTTTTAATCTTCACCATTCTGGTAGGGTTTAGGTGGTATCTCATTGTGGTTTTAATCTGCATCTCCCTTATGATGAGGAACATTGAACTTTTTTTCATGTGCTTTTGACTGTTAATCTGTCTTTATTAGAGTTTTTGATTCAGCTTCTTTTCCCATCTTTTAGTTGAGTTGATTTTTTTTTTTCTTTTCAGGTAAGCCAACTGAGTTCCCTGTGTATTCTGGTTATCAGTCCCTTATAAAAGGCATAGTTTACAAAAATATTTTCCCATTCTGAGGATTGTGGATTCCCACGAATTACTGTGTCTTTTTATGTGCAGAAACTTCTTAATCTGATGTAATACCACTTGGTTTTTGGGGGAAATTTTTGCCTGTGTTTTGGGGACTTAGTGAAGAAGCCTTTACATGCCTCAATGTCTCCCAGAGTTTCTCCAGTATTTTCTACCAGTAGTTTTATAGTTTGAGATCTTAGGTTTAGATCTTAGATTCATTTTGAGTTGAATTTTGTTAATAGTAAAATATGGGCATCCAGTTTCATCTTTCTGCAGGTGGATACCCTGTTTTTCCAGCACCATTTGCTAAAGAGGTCTGCCTTTTCCCACTGGATTGACTGGTACCATCTGTGAAAAATCAGTTGGCTTTATGTTTTAGGGTTTATATATGGGGTCTCTATCTTGTTCCATTGGCCCAACTGTCTGTTTTTGTGCCAATACCATGCCACTTTGATTATCACAGCTTTATCATATATTTTGGGGTCAGAGAGTGAGATGCCATCCACTTCACTCTTCTTTCACAGGATTTATTTGGCAATACAAGGTCTTTTATAATTCCAGACAAATTCTATGATTATCTTTTCTAGATCTGTGAAGAATGTTTCTGGTAATTTGATTGGAATTGCATTAAATATGTAACATAGACATATGTTAGAGCCATAAAATGTCTCTCCTTCATAGCCTGGCTTGCTTCACGCAACAGTAAATTTTCCATATTTATCCACTTCCTGTCAAAAGCCAAGGTCTTGTTGTTTTTTATAGCTGAGTAATATTCTGTAGAGCATACGCGCCACACTTTTTCAGTCCATTCATCTGTTCATGGGCATTTGGGTTGGTACCATGTCTTAACAATTGTGAATAATGCTGCAGTAAACATCAATGTGCAAGCACTTTTCTGACTAAAAATCCTTCGGCACACACGCACATGCCCCCTGTGTGAGTTTAAGCCACCAGGTCTGGGACTCCAACCACGATCCACCACATGGGAGTCCAGCAACATATTCATTATGCCAACTGCTGTTCCAAAATTCTTCTGTCCTTTGATACCAGGAGTGAGATTGCTGGATCATATGGTAGTTCTATTTGTAGATATTTGAAATAGACAAGTAGGTTTACATGAGATTAAGTATTAATTTCTTCAGTGGTTGTGAAGTCATTCTGGGGTCCATTGTTTAGTTTCCATGTGTTTGTATATTTCTGATGATTATTCCAGAAATTAATATCCATTGTGGTCAGAGAAGATCCTGGATATAGTTTTATGTCTTTGAACATGTAAAGGCTTGATTTGAGCTCTATCAAATGGTCGGTCTTCAAAAAGTTTCCATGTGGGGGTGAGAATAATGTATATGTTATGTTTTGGGGGTGGAATTTTCTATAAATGTCTGTCAAGTTATTTGATTTACGGTATCTCTTAGGTTCTGTATGTGTTAATTTTTTTCTATATGGTCTGTCTAATGGAGATAACAGGGTGTTCAGATCCCACCATTTGGAGTGTTGCAACCTACCTGTCCTTTTAGATCTGTCTTTCCTTCACATATTTGGGTGCTTCTGAATTGTGTGCACAGATTTTTTTTTTTTTTGAAGAGGTTTTCGCTATAGGGCGCAAGCGCCCGCCAGACAGACAGAGACAGAGAGACAGAAAGCAAGAAATCACCCCCCAGGAGGGATGGCCACGCCGTAATCCCTTCTCCTCCATTCTCCTCTCGGGATCTTGGGCACACACGCACACATGCCTGGCATGAGTTTTAAGCCACCAGGTCCGGGACGCTAACTGCGGTCGACTACGTGGGAGTCCAGTGACATAGCCATTATGCTAACTGCTGGTTCCCATGCACAGATATTTTTAAGTGTTATATCTTCTTGATGTTTAGCCCTTTTACTAGTACATGATATCTTTCTTGGTCTCTTATATTTTTTGTCTTAAAGTCTATTTTGTCTGAAATCAATTCAGTGACTTCAGCCCATTTTTATTTCTGTTTGCAACCTTTTCCCAGACCTTAATGTTTAGGCTATCTATGTCTTCATCCATGAGCTGCATTTCTTATAGGCAACAGATAGAGAGTTTCTGTTTTTTAATCCATTAAGCCAGTCAGTCTGAGTCTCTTGACTGGTGATTTTGATCCATTAACATTCACCATTATTACTGATATTTCCAGACTTCTTGTCATTATGTTGGCTCATTTCTTGGTTGATTTTTGTTCCCTGATTTCTGTCTCTTCGACTTTACTTTTCCTGGTATAGCACTCTGGAGTTGTTCAATTGTTTCAGATTTTGTTTATCTAAGAATGTTTTTTATCTTTTCCTTTCATATGAAGGATAATCTTGCTGGGTCTAGTAATCTTGATTAAATTTTTTTCATTTATCATTTTCAATATATTTCCCTGTTCTTTCCTTTGCCTGTATTATTTCCAGTGAGAGGTCTGATATTAGCCTAATTGGATAACCTTCATAAACACCTTGATGTTTCTCTCTTGACAATTTTATTATCATGACTTTGTCTGTGGTTTTGGCCAATCTGGCTATGATGTGCCTTGGAGAAGATTTTCTTGGGTTGATTCTATTTGGGGTTCTTTGTATTTCTCATGTCTGGATATTCAAATACATCTCTAGGTTTTAAAAGTCTTCTTCCAGAATTTCATGGAATAGATTATCAATACTCTTGCTATTTTGTTCACCTGCTGGGATATCAATTATCCAGATGTTTGTGTGCTTAATGTTATCTAGTATTTCTCATATTTTCCTCATTTTTCTTGATTACTTTCTAAGTCTTTTAGGTAATTTTTTCTAGGTCAGAGGTTTTATCTTCTACATCTTTGATTTGATCTTCTGCATAATGTTTTTTGCTTTTTGTTGTTGTTTTTAGAGAGGTTTTTACTCTGCAGCATTTACACTCACTGAAGAGATTGAGAAAAAAGAAAGCAAGATATCCCCCTCCCCGTGGGGAATTGCAATGTTGCAATCATTTCTCCTCCATTCTCCTCTCAGGATATTGGGCACATGTACACACTCACTCAGTATGTCTGAAACAGCTGGATTTGGGACTTGAACCGTGGTTGACTTTGTGGGAGTCCAGTGATGGAACTATTATGCCATCTGTTGAGTTCCTCTATTCTTCTTTTTTATATTATCAACAGAGTTTGAATTTCCTGTATTACAGCCTTTATTGCTAACAATTCCACTTGATTATCTTTTATTTATTTATTTATTTTGGAGAGGTTTTTGCTATAGGACATGTGTGTTTTCCAGAAAGACAGAGATAGACAGAAAGCAAGAAATCACACGCCAGGGAGGATGGCTATGCCGCAATCCCTTCTCCTCCATTCACCTCGTGGGATCTTGATTCTTTTTCATGGTGTCTGTTTCTTCTTTGAAATCATGGAATCCTTTCCTCATCTCCTGGATCTTCTGGAGTTCATTGTCTCTTTTCTCTTCTGTGCCATTTAGTTTTTTCACTATGAATATTCAGAATTTTTTTTCTGTGAGTTCCATTGTATTGTCTGTGGATGATGAGGAATTGATGTTTTCCCTTGGGAGAGAGATATATTTTGATTTCTCATATTTCTTGTGTCTCTGAGATGGTTTCTGGTCACCTGGTAAATTATATGTTTCTTCTTAAATTCTTTGAGTTCATTCTGAGTGTGTAAAGTGTGTGAGAGGAGGTGACCGGCGATGTATCTGCTTCTCTGCCTTCCTGATGATCACCCAGCAACCTGCACTGTTGTTGCTGGACCTGGATAATTCAAAATTCTCCCAATCACTAGAGAACAGGTGCACTTGGGGTTGAGCTGCTGAGCTTAAACTGAGGAAGACAGAAGGTGTGTGTGCTGCACACTTCAGGAAATGCTAAAATTTGAGAATTCAGAGGTGTGTGGCAGGGGATGAGCCATGGTCTCTGCAGCTCAGCCCTCTGCTACTCACTGTACAGCAGGGCCATGGCTTGGACGGATGTCCCAACTGTGTATAGAATGGGGAAAGAGGGATTCTCCAGGTCTCAGTTCTTTAAAAGGCCACTTTAAAATTCAAGAATTTTAAATTTGTGTTTTGTCATAATTTTTTTTGTAATGTCACATGGCAATATTTTTTTTTAAGAGGTTTTCGCTATAGAGCATGTGTGCTCACCAGAAAGACAGAAAGTGAGAAATCATCCCACAGGGGAAATGGCCATGCCACAGTCCCTTCTCCTCCATTCTCCTCTTGGGATCTTGGGCAGGCACGCACATGCACCCAGCGTGAGTTTAAAGCCCCAGGTCCAGGACTTGAACTGTGGTTGACCACATGGGAGTCCAGTGACATAGCCATTATGCCAACTGCTGATCCCCACATGACAATCATTTTTACAAAACAAGACGAACAATAACAACAAAACTTCCCTACAAAATATAGGGACACCTCTGTGGACTCATGATTAGGCAGTGGTTCCCATATGGCCTACCAAATAGTATATGTCCCTACCCAGAGTTTTGACAATCATGCTGGGCATGTGTGCATGCATGCACAATCCTGAAAAAGGGGAGAAATGAAGAAACAGGGACCGCAGCATGGACATTGCTTATGGAGACTGCTTTCTTTCTTCATTATCTCTCTGTTTCTATTTCTTTCTGTCTACCAAGTTAAAAAAAAAAAATGAAAGAAAATGCATGTGTTCCTTTCTAAAAAGCTTAATTGTAGTGTACTTGATATTTAAAAGCTGAACATATTTATTATCTATATTATGATGAATTTGGACATGGGCACATATTTGTACTATCATCACCACTGCTAAGAAACTAAATCAGGGCTGGTGAGTGACATAGTGGTTAAGGATGCTGGACTCCCACATGGCTGAATATGGTTTGACTCTTGGACCTGGAGGCTTGCTTTCTCACTTGCGCTCTCTCTCTCTCTCTCTCGCTCTCACTCTTGCTCTCTCTCTCCCCCCAGTCAAAATAAAATAAATAATTTAAATAAAATAATTCTTTTAAAAACATGAAAAAAGAGAAACTAAACCTATCCATTCATATTGTATCCTTCATGAAGTACCATGACTAGCTTTTTATTCCTTGGGAGATTTTTGCTATAGAGTTCCTGTGCTTGCCAGAGAGTCAGAGTGAGATAAGTGACAAAAAGTGAGAAATCACCCTCCCTCCCCAAGGATCATGGTCACATCACAATTCCTTCTCCTCCATTCTCCTCTTGAGATTTGGGCATACATGTATAGGTAACTGCCATGAGTTTCAAACCACTGGTCCAGGACTCTAACTGCTGTTTGCTATGTGAGAGTCCAATGATGTAACCATTGTGCCACCTGCTGGTCCCTCATGACTACCTTTTAAGAACCCCCAAACAAATTTTACTAGTCTGGATTTTTCCAATTTATACACAAACTGCCCTTTAGGAAACATCTGGAATTTTTCTGAGAAGATGCAATTATCCTTCAGTTGTATCCATGAAGAAAGAAAGAGTTCATGTCACATGAGTAGGAGATGGATATACCCAAAAAGTAATTTTATGGGAGGTGGGAATATAATTATTACCAAGATAGATAAAAATCATCCACCTCTAAATTAAGTGCACTCCTTATTTTTAATATTGCCTCTCAACCAGCTTCATCCATTTATGAAGAAAAGCCAATTTACAAACAGCACTGGGTATAACCTGTCCCTTGATGACATAAATTTGGCACAGTATGATATCCACAACTTGGTGAGACTTTCTGAAAAAAATTCAACCAGTTGGCTACTGGTTAAAGTAGGAGACTTTGTCTACAAGAGCCCTCATGATCAAGGCTTGGTCATCAATAAAATGCTGATAAAATGGCCTGCTAGTTTGAATGAGGTATGATATAATTTCAATATTAAATTTGTACAGTGGTATCTGAACAGAGTCCTGAAATAAATTGTGATTGTTTTAACTCAGCATTAAATTTATCTTTTATGTCCTGACTTTGTACAATATGATTTTGCTTATACATTATCTACCTACAAATATAGTAAGAACTGATTTTTATTAATAAGGTAAATGTGTTCTCAAAACTTCACCTTCAGGCAGTTTTCTCATTGTACAAATATAGATAACCTAGAGATCATATTGCCTATTACAGAAAATATATGGCTAGTCTATTATTTTATTGGATCACTGCCATGTATGGACCTGAAACCCTTTATGTTTTGTAGACAGTCTATATTATAGGTTGGCATGCTGTAAACATGAGTATATTATGGATGAATATACCATTCACTGGGCCAGGTCATGGTGTGGAGGCCAGGTCATGGTGTGGAGGCTAAGGCAGCTGGATCACACATGGGTGGATGACTACACAGTTCTAATCTTGTACCCAGCATGTGTGCATGCATGCCAAAAATCCCAAGAGAGGACTAGAGTAAAAGGGATTGTGGTATGGCCATCCCACCAGGGAGTGGTTTCTCACTTCTTTTCACTCTCTTTCTATCTCTGTCTCACTCTGGTGAGAGCTCAAACTCTATATAACAAACTAAAAAGAAAAGAAAAAAGATGGTATTCATCTCTTGAAAATAGCATTCCCATTTACTCTTGTCCTTTATACCTTTTATTCTTTGAATTTTCTTGGTCTAAGCATCTTAAAGCATTTACCATAATAACAAACAAATGGATTAGAAGGTGATTTCTAAAATAATCATTCTTTATATATGTCTTGGGTTCTTAATATCTGAAAAGCAATGTCTTGTGTGAACTCAGAAGCCCAGAATTGGATTAACCACAATACATGGTTTATGAATCACTCTTATTATTAATTTTTTGGTCTGTAATTTTTAATGATATGTATACATATCACATTAGGGTCTTTTTTTTCACATTAATTTTTTTTAAATCTATAACCTAAAGTTTTCTAACTAACCAGATATGAGGAAATGATTTAACTATACTGATGAACTCAACTTCTCAGCACATTTGCCATACAGAAATCAGTATTAAAATGGTTTTGGATGAAGTTGTTAACTAAGAGAAAACCCATGGGATATTTCTAGCTATGTACGAAATAAAATAATTAGATATCTTGGTAATATTTGGTAAGGAGATGATAAAAAGGAAAGCTAATCATACCAATTTATTTAGAAGTCAATGTGATAGTGGTTGGTTCCACAGCATGGTGGTTAAGAAAGCCAGATCTCACATGGCTGATTGCAAAATTTGAGTCCCAGAACTAGTAGCTTGAGAAACATGCTGGACCTAAATGTATGCATGCCCGAAATCCCCAAAGGAGGGAAATATGGAGAAGGAATTGCAGCATAACCATTCTCCATGTGGGATGCATCTTTCTCTTCCTCTCTTTGTTTGGAGGGCCTGCATCCACTAGCACAAAAACAAAATGGTCCAGGTTATATGAACATGGTTGAAAGTGAGAAGATAATTACTATATTTATGTATGTGGGTTTGTGTGTGTATTTTAAAATTTTTTACCCTAGGGCATGTATATTCACTGGAGAGGTACAGAAAGAGAGAATGAGAAATCACCCCCTGGGGAGATGGCCATGTCACAATCTCTTACATTACGTTCTCCTCTTGAGATTTTGGAGATGTGCACACGTGTGTCTGGCATGATTTCCATGCCTTTGTTCCAAGCCTTGAACCATGGTGTTAGCCATGTGAGAGTCAGCACCTTATCTACCATGTCATCTGCTGTCCCCTAGTAAAGTTATGTTAAATGACAAAGCTTTCTCACAGATAAACAGGATTGAAGATATCCATTCAAAGCTCTTGGTACTATACATAATTATGACTAATGATTCCTTTTTGCATTCAGACTCCTGAATCTGTGTGCAGCCAGAGCTGTGGTCCTGGATTCCAGAAAACTGTCCTTGAAAGAAGACCTAATTGTTGTTTCCTTTGTGTTTTCTGCACAGATAGAGCCATTTCAAATCAAACAGGTATGAAATATATAAATACCTTATGATAACTCCACTCCCTATATAGCCATAAAAAGGAAGCCAGTAACAGTAGAAATGGAATATAGAGTATCATTGTTCTCAATTTGTGTGTTCACTTATTGTTTCAATATGTTTATGTCATAAACATGATTGCTACTCTATTGTGTGTCACCTCTTTTCTGACTGTCTTCATATCAGACTAAATTTTGAAACTGATCCAAGGTAAAACTTTCTTACATCCAGTGCTGTATAAAACAGTGTCTATTTTAGATCTCACACTTGACCATGTAGAAGTCTTCTAAAAAAAAGGACAGTTGAAATCAAGGCTACCTCTGAGTTTCATGAAAGCTTAAAAATGGTTGTCATGGGAACCAGCAGCTGCAAAAGAGACAGAGTCCAATGGGACCATATCACAGACCTCTTGCTGTATTTTTCCCATGCAAATGTGTCTCTTACCACCTCCCTACCATGACCCTTCACTATTAAAAACTGTCTTCCCCATAGTTACAGCAACCAGAAGCAATACAAAGGTAGAGAGCACAAATGGAGCATGTGTCTCAGACTGTGTTTTGCCTGCCCAGGTGTATTTTGAGATTTCATAGATGGCAGAACTTTGCGATGTATGACTTTTACCTCCTCCTCCAGTTGAATCTTTCTAGCTCTGCCTCAGTTGCACCTGCTTCTGAGATACCGAGAAAGGAATCATCACCTAAAACTGGATACATACACACTTCTCTGGTTGGAAGACAAGGCTTTCCAAGAACACACATGAGAAGTAGAACTCATCCTCTCCACTCAATTCCACACAAAGGTGTAAGATTGGATAATTCATCAGATGACCAGAAAACATTCAGAGGCATAGACATATGAGGAAACAAGAAAATAGCTCTCCCTTGAAGGAACAATTCATAGACAACACAAAAGAATTTGCAGAAATATCAGAAAAATAATTCAGAATATTCATACTAAGAAAAACTAGATAAGAGGCAAGAGAACAGAGACAATGAACTCCAGGTGGTGAGGAAGTTCTTCAAAGACTTGGAGGATGAGATAGACACCATAAATAAAAATCAAACAGCTTCTACAGATAAAAATTGTAATACAGGAGATCAAAACCTTCCTCAAAAGTATGAATAGCAGATTAGACCACAGAGAAGAGAGAGTCTCTAATCTGGAAAACAAACCTCTGACTTAAATAAACCAACAAAAAGAATGAAAAAAAGAGGACAATAGAAAGGAAATTCCAGATATATTAATAGCCCAACTTTCCAAAAAATAGATATTCCAGAAGATGATGAATCTGATAAGGGCATAGAAGACCTATTGAAAGAAGACCTGACTGTTGTTTGTGTGTGTGTGTGTGTTTTATGTACAGACAGAGCCATTTCAAATCAAAGAGGTATGAAATATATAAATACCTTATGATAACTCTACTCCCTATATATCCATAAAAAAGAAGCTATGAAATACTTGTAGAAAAAATACTTGTTGTCCTCTTTTCTTTTTTTTTTTTTAATTCTTTTTGTTGGTTTATTTAAGTCAGAGTTTTGTTTTCCAGATTAGAAACTCTATCTTCTCTGTGGTCTAATCTGCTATTCATACTTTTGAGGAACGTTTTGATTTCCTATATTGCAATTTTTATCTGTAGAAGTTCTGTTTGAGTCTTAATTATGGTATCTATCTCCTCCTTCAAGTCTTTGAAGAGCTTCCTCAACACCTGGAGTTCATTGTCTACATTGAAATACTTGCAGAAAACTCTCTAAACCTAGAGGAACATTCAGACATCTAGATCCAAGAAATACAAAGGACACCAAATATAATCAACATAAGAAGACACTCTCCATGGTACATCATAGACAGGGCAAAATCAAAGATAAAGAAAAGATTCTAAAAATGTCAAGAGAGAAGTGTCAAGTTACTTACAAAGGTTATTCTGTTACGCTAACGTCAGACTTCTAAACCAAAACAAAACAAGCAAAGAAAGAATGGAAAGACATATTCAAAACATTAAAAGAATTACAGTGATTCAATCTAAAAACAAATAATGAAATATATTTTGAAAGAAAAAGAAGAACAATATCAACCAGGAATACTATACCCAGAAAAATTATCTTTCAAATGGGAAGAACAAATAAACTAATTTTCTGAGAAACAAAAACTGATAGAATTCAGTAACATTAGACCGGCTTTTTAAAAAGTACTGAAAGGAGTAGTATATCAGGAAAATTAAAGACAGATAAAGAAAAAGGAGAGAAAAAAAATTAATCAAGATAATGGCCAACAAAATGACAGGGATAAATCTGTAAATATCAATAATAACATTGAACATTAAAGAATTAAATACTCCAATCAAAAGACACAGGCTAAATGGATTAAAAAGAGGAGGGACAATTCAAAGGCTGCTTACAAAAAAATAAAAATAAAATAAAAATAAAAATAAAAAACCACACCTAACACATAAAGACATAAATACATTGAAAATGAAGGGTATAAATATATTTTTCATGCAAATGGAAATTTTAAAAAGGGTGGAGTCACGATACTTAGACAAAATAGAGTTTAAGACAATGACTTCAAGAAGATACAAAGCAGTACACTATATAGTACTAAAATGGCTAATTCACCAAGGTGATATAAAAACATACATATCTATGCACCCAACTCTGAAGCACCCACATATGTGAAAGTCAACTAGATCTAAAGTGAGAGAGACACTGCAGCATGATAATCATTGTGGATCTCAACACCCCACTCTCTTCTTCAGACAGATCATCTAGACACAAAAATAAGCAAAGAAATAAGGATCTAAAGGATACCATAAATAAAATAGAGTGGACAACTACAGAACCTTTTGTCCAACAACCATAGAATGTACACTTTTCTGACCCCACATGGAACATTTGTGACGTTTGACTACATGAAAGGGCACAAAATAAGCCTTTACAAATTCAACATTATAGAAACTATATCCAGCATCTTCCCTGACCATGATGAAATTAAACTTGAAATCAACTGCAGGGAAAAAAAAAAACTGAATACACACATACACACACATTTGGAAACTATACATCCTAATCCTATTTTTCAATGACTTTGCAAACACTGGAGAATTTAAGACTGAAATAAAAAGCAGTTCATTGAAACCAATGATTATAAATACATTCCTTTTTTAAATAATTATTTTATTCAACTTTATATATTTTTATCTGACCAGAGAGCGAGAGGAAGAAAGAAAGAAAGAAAGAAAGAAAGAAAGAAAGAAAGAAAGAAAGAAAGAAAGAAAGAAAGAGAAAGACACACAGAGTGAGAAAGCAAACCTCCAAGTCCAGCACTCAAACTATGGTCAGCCATAAGGGAGTCTAGCACCATTAACCATCACATCACCTGCCGGCCCCTGAGTACATGAGTTTTTATCAGCTATGGGACACAGTGAAAGCAGTTGTAAGAATGACACTCATAGCAATTATTGCTCAGAAGAAAAGAACTGAAAGGTGGCAAATAGACGACCTAACAGGATACCTCAGGGATTCCTAAAACAACAGCAACAAAATGCCAGGAGAAAAGAATACTAAAAATCAGAGCAGCAGAATCTCCAAATTGTTCTCCACAGTGGTTGGACCAATTTACATTCCCACCAGCAGTGTAAGAGAGTTCCCCTTTTACCACACCCCCATCAGCACTTTTCATTTTTTTTTTAAATCTTAGTCATTTAATAACATGATTGAATGTATAAAAGAACTTTTAATAAAAAAATTAAAAATAGGGGCCAGCAGGTGGCATGGTGGTTAAAGACACTGGATTCCCACATGGCCAACTACGATTCAAGTCCTGGACCTGGCAGGTTGCTTTCTCGCTTTCCGTCTCTGTCTTTCTCTGATCAAACTGGAAAATAATAATAATAAATAAAGTTAAATAAAATAATTAGTTTTAAAAAATTAAAAATAAATAAAATAATAATAATAAATAACATTTTAAAATTAAAGCAGAAATAAATGAAATAGAGACTAAGTTAACTACGCAGAAAGCGAAGGAAACCAAAAGCTGGTTCTTTGAAAAGATAAACAAAAGTAGCACAATGTTAGCTAGACTAATTAAGAACAACAGAGAAAGTGATCAGATAAATCTAATTGGTTATGAGGCAGACAATATTACAACAGACATAGTACAAATATAAAAGATCATTAGACAATACTATGAACAACTATAAAGCAACAAAAGTAAATAGGATGAGATGGATACATTTCTGGACACATATAATCTACCAAGATTGAATCAGGAAGATATAGAAAGTCTGAATACAGCAATAATAAATAGACTGAATCCATAATAAATATCCTCCAAACAAAGAAAAATCCACATCTCAATGGTTTCACTTGTGAATTCTGCATAACTTTTAAAGAGCTTACGCTGATTTTACTCAAATGGTTTCTAAAGGTCCAAAGGAAGGAACTCACAAATTCAATATATGGAGTCTCCATCACCCTGCTCCCCAAAACAAACAAGGACAAAACAATAATATAAAACTACAGACCAATATCTCTGATGAATATAGATGCAAACATTCTCAACAAGATACTAGCAAAATGCATCCATGAACACAATAAAAAGATTATACATTACAACTAAGTAGGCTTTACCCAGAGATGGAAGGGTGTTTCACCATATACAAAACCATAAATGTAATAAGTCATATTCACAGAAAGAAAAAATTACCATATAAATAACCGCAGAAAAATCATTTCATAAAATAAAACATCCTTTCAAGATGAAGACCCTCAGCAAAATTGGCATTCAAGGGAAATTTGTCAGTAAAGGCCATCTATGAAAAACGTATAGCTAACATCATACTGAATGGGGAAAAACTGAAAACTTTTCCAGTGAAAACTGGAACAAGACAAAGCTACAAAGCTTCCCACTTTCTCCTCTCCTTTTCACTATAATGCTGGAAGCCCTAGCCAATGCAATCAGAAAATAGAATAAAATAAAAACCATTTAAACAG